CACTAGCAATGGTCTCGCACTAGCAATGGTCTGGCACTAGCAATGGTTTGGCACTAGCAAGGGTCTGGCACAAGCAATGGTCTGACATTAGCAATGTTCTGGCATATGCAATGGTCTGGCAGTAGCAACAGTCTGGTGCTAGCAATTGTCAGGCACCAGCAATGATGTAGCACTAACAATGGTCTAGCAGTAGCAATGACATAGCACTAGCAATGGTCTGGCACTAGCAATGGTCTCCGACTAGAAACGTTCTGGCACTAGCAGTGGTCTAGCTCTTGCAATGGTCTACCTCTAGCGATGGTCTGGCAAAAGCAATGGTCTGGCGCTAACAATCGTCTAGCATTAGCAATAGTCTGGCACTCTCAATTCTCTGCAACTAGCAATGGTCTGGCACTTGCAATGATCTAGCATGAGCAACGGTATAGCATGAGCAATTGTCTGGCATTAGCAATAGTCTAGCACTAGCAATAGTCTGGCACTAGCAATAGCCTGGCAATAGCAGTGGTCTCGCATTACCAATGGTCTGGCACTAGCAATGGTCTACTATGAGCAGTGGTCCTGTACTAATAATTTTCTGGCATTAGCAATGGTCCAGCACTAGAAATGGTCTGGCACTAACAATGGTCTGGCACTAGCAATGATCTAGCACTGGCAATGGTAGAGCACTAGCAATGGTCTGACACTAACAATGGTTTAGCATGAGCAATGTTCTGGCAATAGCAATGGTCTGGCACCAGCAATTGTCTAGCACTAGGAATGGTCTAGCACTAGCAATGGTATAGCACTAGCAATGGTCTGGTAATAATAACGATGTAGCACTGGCAACAGTCTAGGAATAGCAATGCTCAATGTTTTCTGTGCTCGGTTTGAGAATACCACCGGCATGGCAACACATGCCCTGACAGCCCGACCCACATGTTCCCTCTGTCACCACTTCAGAAATAAGATCTGTCTTCCTGGGAGTGACCCCAAGGAAAGCAACAGGCCTGGACAGTGTCCTCAACTGAGCACTGAGATCCTGTGCAGACCAACTGATGGAGGTATTCACCGACATCTTCAACCTCTCTGTCCTACAAGCCGAAGTCCCCACCTGTTTCAAGAAGACTACCATTATCCCCATACCCAAGAAAACACATGCAGTGTGTCTTAATGACTACTGCCCAATAGCTCTGACTTCGATAATCCTGAAGTGCTTTGAGAGGCTGGTCATGGCCCACATCAACTCCAGTTTTCCAACTTGCCTTGATCCCCTACAGTTTGCCAACCAACATAACAGTTCCACTGAGGATACCATATCCCTAGCCCTGCACTCATCCATGGAACATCTGGACAACAAAGACACCTCCATCAGACTCCTCCTCAATCACTACAGCTAGCAATGGTCTAGCACTAGCAATGGTGTAACACTAGCAGTGGTCTGGTAATAACAACGATGTAGCACTGGCAACAGTCTAGGAATAGCAATGCTCAATGCTTTCTATGTTCAGCTTGAGAATACCACCGGCATGGCAACACATGCCCCAACACAATGGTCTTACAGCTAGCAATGGACTGGCACTAGCAACAATTTGGCACTAGCAATGGTCTAACACAAACAATGGTCTGACACTAACTAAGATGTAGCACTGGCAATAGTCTGGCACTAGCAATAGACTGGCACCAGCAATGGTCTTTCACTAACAGTGATGTGGCTCTGACAATGGTCCAACCCTAGCAATTGTCGAGCACTAACAATGATGTACTACTGGCACAGGTCTAACACAAGCAATTGTCTGGCACTCACCATCGTCTGGCATTAGCAATAGTCTGGCACTCTCAATGGTCTGCGCTTAGCAATGGTTTGGCACTAGCAACGGTCTGGCACTAACAATGATGTAGCTCTGGCAGTGGTCTTGCATGAGCAATGGTCAAGCACTAGCAATGGTCTGGTGGAATAGCAATGGTCTGACAATAGCAGTGGTCTGACACTAGCAATGGCCTAGCACTAACAATGATGTGGCACTGGCAATGGTCTGGCACTAGCAGTGATCTGGCCCTAGCAATGATCCAGCACTAGTAATGGTCTAATGCTAGCAATGGCTTGGCACTAGCATTGGTGTGGCACTAGCAGTGATCTAGCACTAGCAATGATTGGCACTAGCAATGATCTAACACTAGCAATAGTCTGACGCTAACAATGATGTAGCGCTGGCAATAGTCTAGCACTAACAATGGTCTAACACAAGCAATGGTCTAGCACAAGCAATGGTCTGGCATTAGCAATGTTCGAGCACTAGCAATGATCTGGCACTGGCAATAATCTAGCACTAGCAATGGTTTGGCATTAACAATGGTCAGCACTAGCAATGATGTAGCACCACCAATGGTCTGCCATTAGCAATGATCTGGCACTATCAATGATATGGCACTAGCAAAGGTCTACCAATGATCAAGCACTGGCAATGATCTGGGACAAGCAATGGTCCAACACTAGCAATAGTCTGGCGCTAACAATGGTGTAGTACTGGCAATAGTATTGCACTGGGAATGGTCCAGTATGAGCAATGTTCTGGCACTAGCAAATCTCTAGCACAAGCAATCTTCTGGAACTAGCAATGGTCTTGCACTAGCAATTATCTGGCACTAGCAATGGCTTGGTATAAGCAATGCTCTGGCAGTGGCAATGGTATGGAACTAGCAATGGTCTATCACTAGCAGTAGTCTAGTATGAGCAATGGCCTGGGATTAGCAATGGTCTAGCACTAGCAATGTTCTAGCACTGGCAATGTTCTAGCACTAACAAATGTCTAGCACTAGCAATAGTCTGGCACTAGCAATAGTCTGGCACTAGCAATGGAATGCATTGGCAATGGTCTGGCACTAGCAATGGTCTCGTGCTAGCAATGGTCTGGCACTAGCAA